GTTACTAGAAGCGATGCACTTGTTCCTAGTAGCGAACATTGTTACTACTAGGAGGAAAAACAAATTGCGCATGTCTGTTTTGTCATTCTCTTTCTTGCGCTGCCTACCTGGCAGCAGCTCCCCGGCACAGCTACGGCGACTGCTTTTGAGGCCCCGAGGAAGCACCGCCGTGCCCAGCGGAGCAAGGTGCCGCCTGGAGAGAGAAGGCTGAGAAGGGCGAGAAGGGCGGCACAAGGTGCCGCAGCATTTGACAGGAAAAAGAGCAGGTACACTGGACCGCCTATAGGCAATATGAGGTTCAGCACAGAAAACTTAAAAGCATGACACAGGTTATTGTGGGAGAAAGCCAAAAAGAACACATCACATGTCGGTTGCCACCGTGGCGGGAAGCAAAAACATCGGAATAAAGAGGGCATTCTATTAGCGACGGCCTCCAACCTACTAGCGATGGCCTACATGTAAAAGTGTTGAGACACGGATTGCTTACGCCGGGACTGGCCTGGAGCAACTTACAAGACAACGAAGGAATGAAAAACTAAATGTCAAGGATGAGGAAAAGCAAAAGAGAGATGAAAGTAAGAACGGCCTGCCGGCCTGAAAAGAAGAGGAAACACAACTGGAAACAAAAAAGTTTGTCTTACAACACGTGCAATTCGTGTTGAGTGACAAGGATTTCTGCCATCTGGGCAGCTCCCTGAGCTGAAGTTGAAACGCCTGCTTCGCACCACGCCAGACTCATAGGCTTTGGCACATTCCCGACAGACCTGAAGAGGAGCACGGCTTTGGCCCTTCCCAAGCCCAAAAGAAAATACGAGAAAAAGAAAAAACTAAACAAGTAGTTTGTATTTCCAAAAATATTCCAAAAACAACTCGATGTCCATTAAAAAAACACCGCAAAAGCTGGGTCTGGGTGTCAAACATCGAAGTCGCATTTGGGGCACCTGTAGCCCTTCGCAGAAAGTGCAGAGACTGCAGCATGTTACTAGTAGCGATGGCCTCCAACCTAATAGCATCCTTGTTCCTAGTAGCTTCTTGTTCCTAGTAGTAAGGCCAGGAGCCCCTAGTAGCGTCCGATCGCTCCTAGTAGCGATGCCCTTTGTTACTAGTAGTTTCTGGTTTACATTTGTCTTTGAGTTTGCCTCCCATATCCTGCGGCGGTCGCAGTCTGCATCACAGGTGTGGCAATTGGGAAAGCTGCCACACCAAAGCCTTACTTCACACAACACAAATCAACACAACACGCAACACAAATCAAAACGGCAGTTCTAAAGGTATGCTGCCGCGATGCCTTGCTTTCTTGGACTTCACTAGCTTCACTACTTGACAAACAGGGGTCTACAACCAAAACAAACAAGAATGGCTGCATGTTGTCATGTTGTTTTCTTTAAGGTTTTGCTGCTTATTTGTCACCACACAAACCACAATACATCTGGTCCGTGAGTCCATGGACGATTCCCATGCGTCATGACTTGGCAAAGCTGAGAGTCCTACAGCGGGTGATCATGGAGGTCTAAGCAGTATAAGGCCTGTTCGACACAGTGGTTTTGCAGTTTCGCAAAAAAACGAAACAATGGGAATAACGCTGAATGGAAGACCACCACGAACCGTCTTGCTAGGAACCGAAAGCTAGGAAACACACGTCTTCAAACAGTTCCAGAAATAGAAAGAAAAACAGCATCTCTTTATGGGATGAGTAAGAAAACATTGTTGATAGTAGTGATGGGCGACAGTCCAACGCCTAAGGGGCCAAGGCGTTTTGAAAAAGAATCCAAACCAACATGTTTTTTTGGTCTTTGTTTTCCTGGTATTCTTTAAAGCACGTCCTTGATTTTTTCCCCTTTCTCAAAGGTTTTCTAAATTCCTTGATGAGTCGTGATTGCGCCGGCTCCACGGTGACTGGAAGGCCTCTGAGGGATCCGGCTGCAAGCATCGCAGGTTCCAGGTCTGACTCCTGCGGCAAAAAGCGTTGTAGCATATTTTGTCTTTTTGGATCAGACATCAAACGTTTGTCAACACGTTTTATCGGTTGTTAAGAATTTGTTCAACGAAGTCCCACCACAAGCAATGGATGGAAGGAAACAACCGAGCTTTTGCGGAGAGGCGCGTTCATCCAATTCTCTTGCGGCTTAGCAGCGACAAAAGTTCCGTGATTGTGGGGCTCAATTTTGGCTACGTGAAACACATGACTTCAAAAAACACAATTACAAATTAAACGACCACGTTATACCGCTGTACATGTATGTATACGTATGCATGAATACATAAAGGTCCTTAAACACATATACATATATATATATAGGTATCCGCTCACCCCAGCATAGCCTGACCTAAGCCGGGCGGCACCCGGCACACTAAGCGCTCTGTGATGGAAGTGAGCTGTGCCTGTGACGTGTACGCGGGTCTGTGTCACTTCCTTATCATCGCAGGGCACACTGACGTTATTGTTTTCCTCAAGGCTCAATGAATATCGCTCCAGACATAAAAGACACTAGCTGCCTGCGACACTGTGGCGTACGTGCTGCTAGTCATGGATTTTGGGGCGGTTGCGGATGCTTTTCATGGTGGAGGAGGACTTCGTCCCAAAGACCAGGCGCTGTGCTAAGTTTGGGGAAGACAGACTCTCCAGTGCAAACCGCAGCAACCACCCTGCGCAATATTTTTCCTTTCAAGGCAAACTCTCAAGTCCAGAAAAGCTTTGAAGTGAATCTGATGATCTGCACTTTTATCTTATTAGATTGACTAGCGCTCCTCGCACTTTCTAAAACATTTGCCCTGAAACGTTTCAAGTCTCCCCCGGCGTGGTTGGTCAGTGACGATGACCCCGCACAAGCGCCGATGCAGCAACGCTTTGGAATGGAACCCCCCAGCCACGGTTCCGTATCAAGCAGCAAGGTCAAAACTATTACCAACCATGTCGGGTAAGGAAGCCAGGAAGTTCACAGTCTATACTCCAAAAGCGTGCGCTAATTTCGGAGGCTTCTACAGAAGTCTGTACAAGGACCCGTTAAGACGCGCAAGGCCGACCGAGGTAACGCTTCGTGGGTTGTTCGCCTCGCCCGGGTCCGGATGGCTCTTAGGAATTCTCTGAAGGCGCAAGCATCCCAGGCCAACGATGTCTTCGCAACTGAAGCGTGATGCAAGCGAGGCGACGCAACCTGGGGCTGCTTGAAATCTGTCGCGGGAGACGCAGGGAGTTGGCGACTGAAAAACAGCACATTCACAAGAAGCCTTTGCTCTAGGTTTTGTTCTATTTCTTACGCGTCTCCTCTCGCAACTGCAAAAGATCAGCTTGCGCACTCTTTTTACTTTGGCTGCTACCAGAGGCATTTTCTTGAAGCCTAAGATCCGCCACCGCGCTTTTGCCCGGGCTCTCCGGGACTCTTGTCGCGCGGCCACCGCTTTGTCTCCCAGGCCAAGAGTTTTGCCCCCACGATTCTTGCAAAAAGCGCCATATCGTCGCAGCTCACACCTAGATGACACAATCGTGAACGTCACATTTCTAATTAGACAGGCCCTGCTATAGTGGATTTCGGTTGCCTCAGCCCGTGGTTACGTTAAGTCGGGCAGTGTCTTCCCCTTTGTGACAAAATTCAAGCTGGAAGTGGGACAAGAAGTCTGAGGAACATGTGTTCCTCTTTATGCTTCTCCTTTGGAGCACTTTTGCTTCATTTTTTGGCTGATTTGTTTTGCTCAAACGTTGGATCCCCTTTGTGAAACAATCAAATGCTAAAGTTGTTGATTTTCTTCGCGTTTGTTGCCATTTGATTTTTGGTTCTACATGTTTACTTTTCAGTTCAATTTAAGTATTCTGGAGCACTTTTTGTTTCATTTTTTAAGGACAACAATATTGTTTGGTGAAAATGAAAATACAAACCATTTCTACCTAAGTCTTAAAGGGCCAACCCACAGGGCCAATCGTGCACATGGTGATCAACAATATTAGCTTTGACCCACACCTGGGGGCACTCGAAAGCAGAAATAGCCACTTTTTCCAAGAGGTTCACGGTGTGGCATCATCTGTCCCATTCGCCATATCATTCATCATCCTCCTGATCAGAATACCCGCTGTCAGAGCTAGTGAAACCACTGAGGCTCGTCAAATGGAATGAAACATAGGAGCAAGTCGAATCATCAGGTGGAGGACGATCTCAACGACAACTCTGACATAGGCCCCTTCGAAAAGCTGCACTGGCATATCCCATGTGTACATTCTTGCGTTTTTGCAAGTCGCCAAGATGTATCTTGCAATCAGGCACCATTTGATTGAGCAGCTGTAAGGCAGTAAGAGTCTCCCATGTCACCACAACAAAAGTCCCGTGAAGGCGTCAGCATATCGACCAAAATCGGTATATATTGCTCTCCTCGCGCTGGACTCACAATCAAAGTAGGCCGTCTACTACATTGACCACACGGGGGCAAAGGCCGAACATTGTAGGCAAAGATTTCATCATGTCGGTTGACATGCGTATCCCAATGCGGCTGCATCAGGACACTGACAGAACCATGTGCATTCCACCTTACAATATGGCAAACAGTAGAAAACACATCAATCAGAGCTTGAGGGTGGCTCCACACTGCCAACTCGATCGGTCGCTATGGTCCAGCTGCGTTGAAGACGTATGCAGTTGCGGCGTCAACAACTGCTCCAAACTGCATGACTGACGAAACATCATCTCGATCACTGCCAGCTAGTTTCAGCAGCAGCAAAATGCCAATCCATCGTATGGACGTGACATGGCTGAACCTAAACTAAAACTAGATTGAGTTGAAAGATTTTTGGGCGCTGTCAGTTTCATCCGACTCTGCTGAGTTCAGCCTTCAGTGTTCCTTTCTAAATTGTGAATAAGATGGTTCTTGGAGGTCCTGCACAAGACTTTCGCTTATCGTTTCACTCCATTCCCACGAATTGATGCAAGATCTTAATCCCACGTCAACAACGAGTCCTGAAGAAGAGAAATAATGGCTACTGTCCGCTGCAGCGTAATTAGTCATTGGCCAAGCCATCCAAGTTATTTCAATCTCTGAGGCCTGATCTGATCTTGACAAGACCCTGGATCCTCAATGACATTCGACGCGTTTGACACCTTATTGGGGTTCTCCCACCCATTGAACTGTCAAGTCCTGAGGAGAGCTGAGCTTTCCCTTCCTCAGATACGTGGGTGGCAGGAGCTATCAAGAATTAAAAAGCGCCATGGTCACTGGATGCAACCTGCAATGAAGACCTGTTGAACTGTTGAACTGTCATAAGCAGAAAGTGGCTGTAAAGCTGGAGGAGCCCTCCCCACTTCACTCCTAGTCTTTGCCCTCAGAAGCCCTGAGCTCCGGACGTCGCCCTCAGCTCATGAGGCACAGTGAAGGGACAAGCCTTCTTCACCATGGCAGGATGGCTAGCTGGCTGCGGAAAGTAGCGAACACGCGCCCAACCGGCAACGCCGGTCTGCGAAGTTCTACAATCTATATATGCGTGCTATGATCCCTCGAAACAAAGAACAAAATATATATATATATACATATATCAAGGTCAAATGACTATACACTGGCCTCACTACACGAGTTATCACTCGCCACAGATCTCAGTCTACAGTCCCGACCATCTATCGGGACCACCTCGAGTACCACCTCAACCTTATTGGTCCTGACCGTACGCTGATTTTGGAAGCCAAAACACTGATTCTGGCAGCGCGACACTGATTCCAAATGCTGATTTGCTACACCAGAAACTGACGCGGCATGTATCCACAAGCTGAGTTGTCCTATCTTTCTTTTAACTCTTCATGCTTGCCTCTGGCTCCAAGCCCTATCCTGGACATTGTGGTTGTAAAGTATAACCTACCAACACCTGTCAACCTTCAGTTACAACTCATTCCAAATTAGTTACTTTCTTTGATGAGATTGTTCCCTGCTACTAGTCAGTTTCTCCTCTTCTTGTTGAGCCGTTCCTGCGCTAGATTGATTTGCAACTCTCTTATTTGGTTCTGAGGGGCTTTTAGCTTTGCCTAGTCGCTTTTCTTTTGTTTGCTTAACTCTGTCTATTCAAAGACTGTACTGCAAGTCTTTTGAAGAATACTCAGAATGAAGTTAAGGACACGTGATTTAAGAATAGAAGATGTTGGGCCAGATTCAATGCGAGAAAAACAATTGTTGTTGTTGTTGTTGTTGTTGTTCTTATTCTTCTGCCTTCTTCTTCCTTATTTTTCTTCCTTCTTCTTCTTCTTCTCCTTCTTCTTTCTGCTTCTGCTTCTGCTTCTGCTTTTGCTTCTGCTTTTGCTTCTGCTGCTTCTTCTGCTTCTTCTTGTTTCTGCGTCTGCTTCTGCGGCTTCTTCTTATTACTATTCTTCTTTTTTCTGCTTCTGCTTCTGCTTCTGCTTCTGCTTTTGCTTCTGCTGCTTCTTCTGCTTCTTCTTCTTCTTGTTTCTGCTTCTGCTTCTGCGGCTTCTTCTTCTTCTTATTCTTATTTTTCTTCTTTTTTCTGCTTCTGTTTCTGCTTCTACTTCTTCTTCTTCTTCAGCCCTTCCAACTTATACACTCAGTTTGAAAAGCTCTTCCTGGTCTGAATCGGCATTTCGTTAATTGTTCAGTAGCTCTTGTATTTCTTGTGTATCTCCTTCGCAGCTTTTCCTCTTCTCAAACGATGTCCTTTGTATCAATAGCTTAGGAGCTGGATCAGAAGCAGAAAGTCCACGTGAGAAATCTAGGAAGCCGTTGAGAATGAGGATAGCTAGCCCAAAGAATACAGTTAAAATGAGATGAAACAGAGGAAGGCATTATTCATTTTATATACAATCGAGACTGCAAAGAACTGTATAAAGACGCTAATCAATCATGGAAGGACAAACGTTAACGAGAAAGAATCAAACAATGGAGGAGTAGCTGAGTAGCTCTTGAATGGCCTGTGCAGCTAATCCAAGTGAGGAAACAAAAATACAATAGAAGGAATCAGAGCTGACATCTTGAACCTAAGATCCTCTGCTTCGACTGCTTTGTGAGGTGTCCAATATTGCACAAACCCAGTGTGGCCATTCAGGATTCTGGATTGTCCAAATTTACATGGCATTTACATGGCTCATCTGGCTTCCCCAAAAATCACTCTCCAAACATGATCCAAAAATCTCATCAAAATGTGGTCAAAGCACTGCAAATGGCCTCCGACCTAATTGCGATGGCCTCCAACCTAATAGCACAGAAAATACCCAAGGAATGTGGTCAAAGAGAACCGAAAAAGAAAAGTGAAAATGGCCCTTTCTGTCGCTTCGCTCGCTACGCTCGCTTCGCTCGAACGGCTTCTCCTGTGAGAAATTGCAGGACAAACCACGTCGCCCACGGAAGGCCCGCGGATCGCCACCAACGAGGCGACTTCGCCCAAGCTTTGGGTCATAGCCTCGGCCTTGGAGACGAGAAGCCGATGCAACGAGATGGCCTTTTTCGATGCAAAAAGAGGCGTCGATGCTTCCCTTTGAAAGAAGCCTTTGTTCCTAGTAGCTTCTTGTTACTAGTAGCTTCCAGGAGCCCCTAGTAGCGACGCCCTTTGTTACGAGTAGCGAATCTTGTCGAACTGTGCTCTTTTCGCGAGTGCATCGAACTTCACTCGAAGCGTCACCGGGACGGATTTTGTGGGCCAGAGGAGTAGCAATGTTCGCTACTAGTAACAAGTGCATCGCTACTAGTAACAAGTGCCTTTCTAGTAGTAAGAAGAAGCTACTAGGAACAAGTGCCACGCTAGTAGTAACAGGTGCCTTACTACTAGTAACAAGAAGCTACTAGTAACTAGCTAGAAGCTAGTAGGATGAAGGCAATTGAGCTGAACAATGCCACTCTAGAGTCTAGAGAACTAGAAGAAGTAGGTCCTTACAATCACCCAACAACACTTGAAGCTATGTCTGGCCAAAAGCAGATGCGCAGATGGCACACCGGCAATTCCATGGAGAGAAGCTTGGATCGCAAGCTCTTGAAATCGGCCGGTTTCTTGGCTTCGTCTGCGTCTTCTCGAGACCCTAGCTTCTCCGCAAGGAGTGACACGATCTTGTCCGGTCCTTCTTGATCTTGTCTTCTCGTCTCCCTGAATTAAGCGTCTAACTCATCTAGCTCCTGACAGCAAGAAGCTACTAGTAGCTCCTGGCATCGCTACTAGGAACCTGGGCATCGCTACTAGTAACAAGAAGCTACTAGTAGCTAGAAGCTAGTAGGTTGGGGGCCATCGGCTCACAAAAAGGACCGTTGAACGTCGCATTTCTTTGGTCCCATCAAATCGACAGGCTTTGTTTGATACCGGTGGTTTCTGGTGTATCTCCAAAAGAACCAGAATCCACCAGCGCTGAATTCCGATGAAACATGAAGGAATACCCCGGCTTATCTGAATCATTCAACTTGCGATTCGCCTTCAGATATTGAAGCAACAAACATAGTACCTCATGCAGACACACAAACATGGTGGAGCAGGTTGAGCTAATTGTTACAGTTGCCTCTGCTTAAACAAATGAGCTGCGCTTTGAGCTCTGTCGGGATCACTTCGGGAAGCGAAAGAGGAGTGACAAACACATGGTGGTAACAAATAAGCACAATGTCACCTCTCGTGATAAAACGTTTTGGTCTGACAAAACACGATGAACTCGTGCGACAATCCTGCAAGCTTCCTGAAGTCTAAGAGTTGTCAGCTTCCTTCTCATCCAACTCAAGTTTCCTGGCCTCAGCGTTCATTCCTTAAAGAGACTTTCTGTTCATAAAGAGAAATCAAATGGTCTAAAGAATATACCTTTTATTTCCTTTCTTAGGCAACATTCTTGGCTTCAAGGAATTGGACTTGGATCCCCACCCAGGGAAGTGCTGGCATGCCTCAAAAAGCACTCCGTTTTAGAATGCTTGTGTTACCGATGTTTGGAATGTGTTTATTCCTTTTCTTTCTTCTTTGTTTCTATTAGCGATGGCCTCCAACCTACTAGCGACCTACTAGCGACCTACTAGCGATGGCCTTCAACCTACTAGCCATAAAGGTTTGTGAGGCTTCTTGAGTAGGTCACGTTTTCCAGGCTCTTGAGGCTTCTTGGGCCTCTGCGTGTCAGTGACCCAGGTCTGGGGAGCCTTCGCATCGGCCTTCGTCGAAGACTCTATAACTTACACTCGAGACTCTAACAAGACTCAATCAAGAACACTATTAGAGACCACAGTTCTTATATGTTCTTATGACTCTTTTATAGATGTTTCCGTTTTGTGCAGTTCCTTTTCTTCCTCTTGGTTAGTCAAGTTCAAGACTCCAAGACTGCTGGAAAGGTCGTGTGTTTTGAGCTGATTGCTGATTCGTCCTGAGGCCACCTACAAGGCTGATGGGAACCAAGGCATTTGACCTAAGGCTTCAATAGTAATGCCCTTGTTACTAGTAGCGATGCCCTTGCTACTAGCAGTAAGGCAGCTGATGGTTTCAGCATTGCCACGTGCCAAAATCTGCTGCATTCTGGGCTCCAAACCGTTGAGTGGTCTGAGTGGACGGGAGAGCACCTATCACTGCCGACGAGAAGTGGAAAGACACAAAGGCAAAAGGTATCCATGTGTTTAAAAATAGAAAAAAGAAAAACACATGAAAAGGAAGAATGGCCTAGAGAAAACAAATATATAGATATTTATATAGAGAGAGAGAGAGAGTTTTTTGACCATGACCTTTGGTGCAATCACTTGGAACGGCCTCTCGAGCATCTGCAGAGGCTGCACGCCGAGGCCCTCGCAGTGTCGCAATTGGCTGGTAATTGAGAGATGCTGAACAAATGCGCACAAACCTAATCGGAGGGGCACCACTTCATACAGCAGGAAAGAAGATTAACTGTAACCTCTTTTGCAGCTCTCCCATATCACTCCTCCAACCTAAGAGCGCTGGACTCCAACTACTAGCTATGGCCTCCAGCCTGATATCCTCTTTTGCAGTTCTTCCATAAAACTTAAGATTCTCGAGACATGGACCCAGCTTATGTTTTCATTTCGTGTCGGAACCAAGAGTGGCAACATGTGACAGCCCATTGTTTTTAGCCAAACCTACAAGCGTTGTAACACGTTGTCGTGCTCTTTAGAGTCTGTTCTTGATCGTTGTTGCCCATGTCTACGTGCTCGAGAACCGTAGGAAATGGTCTGATTCGGGATGATCTCTCCAAGCTCAGGCTTTTTTCGTAGGAAATGAAATGGTTCTTTGAGCATGTGCTTGCACACCTATGCCATGCCTCCAGGTCTAGACTGACATGGGCAAGGTCCGGTCAGAGATGGTTTCTATGCAACACGAGGAATATGCCCAGATGAACCGGGTGCTTTGCACTTTGGCTCTCTGAGCTCAGCTGATGCACCATTTCGCACGAGACCGGGGATGGGCGAGATATGTCTGACTTTGCCCACGGACCCGAGATCCTCCAACCTAATAGCGATAGCCCGAGAATATACGAGATACAAGAGGCAGAAAAGAATCAGAAGTTTCCCCAGCTCCGAAGTGTCTGTGAAGCGCCTTGGGTGTTTGGGGTTAGCCGAGGCAAGCCCCGGAAGAGGCGGAACTCCTGACTCCAAAAGGTGGGACTCACATCTATAGGTCAAAGAAAAATGAAAGATGACCTCCAACCTAATAGAAAAGTAAACTAAGTAAAAAGTACAAAGAAAGAAGTATACTAGTAGTAACAAGAAGCTACTAGGAACAAGTGCATCGCTTCTAGTAACAAGTGCCTTACTAGTAACAATGTTTGCTATTAGAAACATGTGTCTCCCATAAACCATGTGAGAAAAGTGTAAAACAAATCACTCCAATGCGTCCTGTCGGGGAGGCTCTGACCGCCGGCGGGGCTCAGAGCGCCGAGGGAGTGGTTCACCTGCAGTCGCTGTCTTCTTGATCTTCACTTGTTTACTAGTGAAACATTGTTACTACTAGTAAGGCACCTGTTACTACTAGCGTGGCACTTGTTCCTAGTAG